AGGGTAGGATGGGGATAGATAGATAGATAGATAGATAGATAGATAGATAGATAGATAGATAGATAGATAGATAGATAGAGGGGTGGATGGGATAGATAGATAGATAGATAGATAGATAGATAGATAGATAGATAGATAGATAGATAGATAGATAGATGCGGTGGATGGGGATAGATAGATAGAGGGGGTGGATGGGAATGGATAGATAGATAGAGGGGGTGGATGGGGATAGATAGATAGAAGGGGTGGACAGACAGAAATTGCCCATACCCCCTTCCGTTTCTCCATCCATGGGGGGGACCCATTACAGCCTCCATTTCTCACCTCCCCCCATCGTATTCCACTGCCCCCCACACAACCCCAGAGCCCCTCCCCCCAGGAGAACCCCCTCCCCAAGGATCCCCCCACCTCCCCCGTCTGGTCCAGCTCTGGTGTCTGAGGTGGGAGCCGCTCCCCATAGCACCCCCTGGCGGAAGCAGTCCCGCCCCTTTGTGGATTGACTCCCTGATTGGCCCCCGCCATGTTGGGCAGGTGAGGAAGGGGTTAATGGCCTCGAATTGGGGCGCAACATACTGTGAATGGTGGCGCTGGCCGGCGTCGGCACGGGGGCGTGCAAAGGCAGTTGTGCGCACGCTTGCACGGTGCCACACTCGTGGGAAGGCACAGAGAGGACCGGGAGGCGGGGAAGCGCCCCTGGGGGTCTGGGTGTGGCCAGGAGAGGCCCAACGATAGAGCTCTGCCCCCAGCCTTGCACACTCACTCCTGGGACTGATGGTAGCTTTGCACACCCAGCCTCCCCTGCCCCCGGGGTGGGTGGGTGTGTCGGGGGGGCAGTCTCTCACCTTGGCCTTTAACCGCGTCCACTCCCGGCGCTCCACCCTACAGGGAGACCAAACCTCAGAGATGGCCCCGCCCCCTGCCCCAGGGGCCGCCCCCTGCCCTGGAGCCCCGCCCCCCTCCTCTCCCTCCCCACAACCTCTCCCCCTGTGGCCCCTTCCCCAGCCCTGCAAGCCTGCCCCCTTCCCATAGCCCCACCCCGAAACCCTCCTCACAACCGCTCCCCCTCTGGCACCGCCCACTGCTCACCAGCCCCGCCCCCTTCCCAAAGCCCCACCCCTAATCCCTCCCCACAACCTCTCCCCGTCTGGCCCCCCCCACTGCTCAGCAGCCCCGC